TACTTGATTTTGCATTTCCAAGTAGGGGGTCCGCGCGAGTCACGCACGCCCTACCCGCACTGCCATTCCGGGTCATGGCTGTCAATCACCAGGTCCCAGCCAGTGATTACTTGCTGGCACCCGGTGATTGCCAAGCATCTCCGATGGGAAGGAGAACTGTTTGTTAACAAAAAAGTTGTCTCTGTCAGCTTGTGCACACTGCTTTGCATGGCTGTGGAGAGTGAAGCACACAGACACAGACACAAGTAAAACAGCACACTGTTAACCCTGTTTGATCACCCCTCATGTTAACCCCTTCCTCCCCAGTGCCATTAGTACAGTGTCAGTGTTTTTTAGCACTGATCATTGTATTGGTGTCACTGAGGATGTCAGTGACACCAAGTCTGTTCACCCCCAGTGTCAGAATGCCCGCTGTAGTCCCGCAGCCTTGCTATAAGTCGCTGATCGCCACCATTACTAGTAAAAAAAAAAAAAAAAAAACAGTATATACCGCCATTTGTAAACGCTATAACGCTCACGTAAACCAATTAATTTACACGTACTGGGATTTTTTTTAGCAAAGACATGTAGCAGAATACATTTTGACCTAAATTTATAGTGAAATTAGATTTTTAACATTTTTTTACATGTTTAATAGCAAAAAGTTAAAAATATTGTTTTTTTTTTCTCAAAATTGTTGTTTTTTTATAGAGCAAAAAAATAAAAAAAACTCAGGTGATCAAATACCACCGAAAGAAAGCCTAGTTCATGGGAAAAAAAGGACATAAATATAATTTGGGTGCAGCGTTGCATGACCGTGCAATTGTCAGTTAAAATAATGCAGCGCCATAATGCAAAAAATTGCCTGGTTGGAAAGAGGGGTAAATCCTCAGGAGGGCAAGTGGTTAAAGAAAAAAAAAAAAACCAAGGGTTTAGAACCAATTTATGTTGTACAAAGATTGTATGGTTAGATTGCAATATGTGTGGTGACCCTTAGACTGTAAGCTCCCAAGATCAAGGCTTCCAAAGCTGGCCATAGGCAGATTGGCAAAAGGGGGTGCAATTAATTTGTGCCCACATGCATGGGTTTGTGGTCGCCGTCCCCTAACCTCTCATTTTCTTTTTAAATTAATTTATTTACCTCAGGTTTATATTTCTGAATTAAGGTTACTGGCCCTTTACATTTTTTTGCTTACATGTGCAGGTGTTTCCTGAGTGGTTCAATAGAAGCATGTGACTTTAAAGAACTTTTTGGAAACTACCAGGACCATATTTAAAGCAGCAGCCATCTGGGCTCGAGACTGTTGGCTGGACACTGGACTTTGATCCCCCCCCTCCCTGTTGCAGGCACTTTGTGTGGTTTGTCACCCTTGAATCAAGGGGGGACTGATTTGTTAAAGTTATGATATGTAAGCTTGAGTCCTAGGACTGAGCTGATATCTGTAATAAAATTTATACACTGATATACACTGCTCAAAAAACTTAAAATGACACTTTGAAAACACATCAGATCTCTATGGGGGAAAATCTCATGCTGGATATCTATACTGATATGGACTGGGGAATGTGTTAGGAACATAAGGATGCCCCATTGTTTGATGGAAATGAATATTATCAACCTACAGAGGACTGAATTCAAACACACTCCAAAAATCAAAGTGAGAAAACAATGCAGCAGGCTAGTTCATTTTGCTGAAATTTCAATGCAGCAACTCAAAATAGTTCTCAGTAGTATTTGTATGGCCCTTACGTGCTTGCCTGACAATGTTGGGGCATGCTCCTAATGAGACAATGGATGGTGTCCTGGGGTATTTCCTCCCAGATCTGGACCAGGGCATCACTGAGCTCCTGGACAGTCTGAGGTGCAACCTGGTGGAGTCAATATCCCAGAGGTGTTCTATTGGATTTAGGTCAGGTGAGTGTGGGGGCAATTCAATGGTATCAATTCCTTCATCCTCCAGGAACTCCCTGCATACTCTCACCACATGAGGCCGGGCATTGTCGTGCAACAGGAGGAACCCAGGGCCCACTGCATCAGTGTAGGGTCTGACAATGGGTTCAAGGATTTCACCCCAATACCTAATGGCAGTCAGGGTGCCGTTGTCTAGCCTGTAGAGGTATGTGCATCCCTCTATGGATATGCCTCCCCAGACCATCACTGACCCACCACCAAAACGGTCAAGCTGAACGATGTTACAGGCAGCATAACGTTCTCCATGGTTTCTCCAGACCCTTTCACCCTCTGTCACATGTGCTCAGGGTGAACCTGCTCTCATCTGTGAAAAGCACAGGGCACCAGTGGTGGATCTGCCAATTCTGGTGTTCAATTGCAAATGCCAATCAAGCTATATGGTGCTGGATAGTGAGCACAGGGCTCACTAGAGGACATCGGACCCTCAGGCCACCCTCATGAAGTCTGTTTCTGATTGTTTGGTCAGAGACATTCACACCAGTGGCCTGCTGGATATCATTTGTAGGGCTCTGGCAGTGCTCATCCTGTTCCTCCTTGCACAAAGGAGCAGATACCGGTCCTGCTGATGGGTTAAGGATCTTCTATGGCCCTGTCCAGCTCTCCTAGAGTAACTGCCTGTCTCCTGGAATCTCCTCCATGCTCTTGAGACTGTGCTGGGAGGTACAGCAAACATTGATGTACCGTCCTGGAGGAGTTGGACTGCCTGTGCAACCTCTGTAGGGCCCAGGTATCGCCTCATGCTACCAGTAGTGACACTGACCCTAGCCAAATGCAAAACTAGTGAAACACAGTCAGAAAAGATGAGTAGGGAAAAAATGTCAGTGGCCTCCACCTGTAAAACCATTCTCTTTTGGGGGTCGTCTCAGTGTTGCCCATCTAGTGCACCTGTTGTTAACTTCATTAACACCAAAGCAACTGAAACTGATTAACAAAAGACCCTCTGCTACTTAACTGACCAGATCAATATCCCAGGAATTTAATTGACTTCATGCTATACTCTGATTAAAAAGCATTCCTTTAATTTTTTTGAGCAGTGTATATGAGTTATTTGACTTATACCAATATCTTAGATTGTAAGCTCCAAGGAGCCGGGCCCGCCTATCCCTCTTGTATTGAACTGTATTGTTGCTGTATTGTCTCCCGTTATATTGTAAAGCGCTGAGCAAACTGTTTGCGCTACATAAATCCTGTATAATAATAATAATAATAATAAAAAAAAGCGCAGCGGCCATTATTAAAGCCATTTATTTGAGTTTTTTTTTTTTTTTATATTGGTAAATGGATAGATGGGGGGGGGGGGGGCATGCAGCTGCAATCCCTTGAAACTTTGATCAGTGTATGACCATCCCTGCTCCACACAAGTCGATCATTTGATGACTTCTGGAAAATTTTAGTTGATCAGTGGCTGCTGTCACTGATCACTATACTCTGTCAGCAGCAGGTGCAGCTGTCAGAATACCAAATGCTGATGAGGATTCCTCCATCCACCTGGCTTGTATGGATAGAGGAAATCTGTTATTTTTTTGTTGTTCAGCTCACTTGCTGAATGAAAAACAAAAACAAAAAATGCAACTAAATATCTATGATCAGCTCAAACCTCTTGTCTTGCCTTGCACTGTGAGTGTACTGTCTCCCTTTAGGATTCATTTACACCGTAATTCCTGCGTTCACTGCACAACGCCACATGCATACTTATATGCATTTGTAATGCCTTTTGTAGTGTATTTATATGGTGCATTTTTTCATGCATTTACATGCATTTGCAGCATGTTCATGTGCATTCAGGCATGCAAAGAATGCAGAATATTGTGGGGAGTTTTTTTTAAACACACATGAAAGCACTACAGTGATGCAAACTAGGCTCATTGAAATACATTGATTCTTGCATATGAATTATACTATGTTTATCAGCACCTTTGATGGCATACTGTGTAAAAAAAAGTCCTTATGTTTTAAAATTCTATTCACACTGACGTTTATAAATCCCCATATGATAATAATAACAGAGAAACAAAAAAGCTTGTGCTTCCTATTGACTGCCAGCTAGCAATCCTGCCTGGGACTTGTAGTTCTACAGCATGGACTATATGCCTTTCCCATAGCCACTGCCAGCCTGCACCCCTGGATTCCTAGTGTGGAGCATTGGAATAACATGGGATTACCATTCCTTTGTTTTTTTCTTTGTGGTGAGAGTTTAGGACATGATGGAGGGGACGTTGAAGTGGAAAGCACCAGCCAGCATTGATCTTGATAGGTTCAGAAGGTTTCAGGTCAGCAGCAGCAGAAAAAATAACCCAGTCAGAGAGATCCACAATCTGTGCACACACTGATGACTTGTGAGCTGCTCCCCGGCAGCAGCAGCGCAGCCCCATGTCTATGGATCGCTATATAGAAACATGACTGGCGGAGACACTTTCATGTGAGCGTCTGAAATAGCTAGGCGTTGTTCTATGGAGGGAGGGAGGAGGTCAGGGATCGCCTGCAGGCATCAATATGTGTCCTTCACTTGGGACTGGCTGCATCTGGAGTGACGTGTGAAGCTTTGTCCTAGGCAACTCACTTTCCACCCATCGGAGCCACCAGACAGGTATTTTAGGATCAGCCCGGCTCCAGGAGAGGTTGGTGGTCACATTGCAAGCCACAGGAGATGATAGAGCTGCCTGCACGAGATTTCCTAAAGAAGGATGCAACTTAAGCGCTGGGTTGAGCTTCAAGTTCCTGAAGGGTATGACTGAGAGCAGTTGAAGGGTGCCCATGCCAGGGTGGGGATCGCCAGCTAGAGGAAGGATGTACAGAGGAGGGCAGGGGTCTAGAAGGTGGACGGGCTCCAGCTGTGCTCCAAGACCCAGCTGTGTGGCTGGCTGCAGCTGTCATCCCATAATAGCCCTGAGCATGGACTGCTTGAAGACCAGAGAGGACAACGCAGGGGGCTAGGAGCTCCTCATGGGGGGGACAAGTCCTACCGAAGCTGCTGCGGAGCCGCGTTCCACCCAGGCGGCACTATGGCGTTACCCTTTCGCCTTGGACAGCGCTGAGACTGCCTGAAGAGATGCTGATGAACAGGAGCCTCTACCAAGAAGCTCAGCAGAGAAGAGACCTGGTGGCAGGGCAGGTGGTCACCGGGAGCCTCCTGTCCCTTCTCATCTTCTGGACCCTTTTTGGCAACATCTTGGTATGCACAGCCGTCATGAGGTTCAGACACCTGCGGAACAGGGTGACCAACATCTTCATCGTGTCCCTGGCTGTCTCTGACCTCCTGGTCGCCCTCTTGGTGATGCCTTGGAAAGCAGTGGCAGAGGTGGCCGGTCACTGGCCATTTGGAGCCTTCTGCAACATCTGGGTGGCCTTTGACATCATGTGCTCCACAGCTTCCATCCTCAACCTGTGTGTCATCAGCGTGGACAGATACTGGGCGATCTCTAGCCCTTTCAGGTATGAGAGGAAGATGACCCAGAAGGTGGCTTTGCTGATGATCGGTGCTGCTTGGACTTTGTCCATCCTCATTTCCTTTATACCTGTCCAGCTAAACTGGCACAGAGATAGGGGGGATAGCCAGACCCTGAGCAACCACACTGCGGAGAACTGTGACTCTAGCTTGAATAGGACTTATGCTATTTCTTCTTCCTTGATAAGCTTCTACATTCCTGTGGCCATCATGATTGTCACCTACACCAGGATCTACAGGATCGCTCAGATTCAAATCAGACGGATCTCCACTCTGGAGAGGGCTGCCGAACATGCCCAGAGCTGCAGGAGCAACCGTGATAACTGTAGACAACACCATACCAGCTTGAAGACTTCCATCAAGAAAGAGACTAAAGTTCTCAAGACGCTTTCTGTCATCATGGGGGTGTTTGTGTGCTGCTGGTTGCCCTTCTTCATTTTGAACTGCATGGTTCCCTTCTGTGACAGGTCTTCTGGACACCCCAAAGCTGGGCTTCCATGTGTCAGTGAGACCACCTTTGATATCTTTGTCTGGTTTGGGTGGGCTAACTCCTCTCTGAACCCCATTATCTATGCTTTCAACGCTGACTTTCGCAAGGTCTTCTCCAGCCTCTTAGGATGTGGACAATGGTGCTCCACCACACCTGTGGAGACGGTCAACATCAGCAACGAGCTCATCTCCTACAACCAAGACACCATCTTCCACAAGGATATTGTCACCGCCTATGTGAACATGATCCCCAACGTGGTGGATTGCATGGATGACAATGATGAGACCTTTGACCGCATGTCTCAGATCTCTCAGACTTCTGCCAATATTGAGATGGCCACTGGCTCGGTGTGTGACTTGGACTGTGACACAGAGCTGTCACTTCATAAAATTACACCTTCCATGCCCAATGGCTTTCATTAGTGCTCATCCAAGATCGGTCCTTTCTGACCATATCATTGCTCTCTTTGATGCCATTTGAAAAACATAAGACAGCATCACCCATTCCCACAAATCTAAATGAGTAAGTTATGAGAAACTGTTCTACACTTATGAAATGTACCATGTGTCTTTCTGTGTTTTAATTCTTGCCAATGTTTGTATATTGATTAAAGAACTAAAGGGAATGAGATTTAAAGCCCAACTCTACCTTCCTGACAGATCACTGTAATGCAGGATGGTAACATAAAATATTCATGCATTTATTACCTTATCTGTTAAAATAAATACCTAAAAAAAAAAAAAAATATATATATATATATATATATATATATATATTACAACTCTTGAAGTGCAACTCTTGAAATATAGCTTGCTACAATTGTTAAAGCAAAAACAAAACAAAAAAAAACAAAACAAAAGAAATAAAGTGCAAAGGTTAGGATTACAGATGAGTGGAGTGATTTTAATAAAATTTATTTTATTACACATTTTGCCATTAGGAAATTTTGCTAACAGAAATTCTCAGTTCTGCTCATTGAGCTGCTTAAGTAAAATCTGCTGGAAGGAAATATAATTTAATCTAATTTTTTTTTTGGGGGGGGGGGGGGGGGGGGGGGGGGGAGGATATTTAGGGTGGTTTATTTATTGCTCTTTGTACTTTTGTAATTTTGTTTTTCACTTTCTTTTTTGTGTATTTGTAATTGTAAACTGTTGATTTACATTTTTTAGTTTGTCCTTTTCAGTTTTTTTTCTTTCTGTGAAAAAAAAACTGAAATTATGCGGCTGACAAGGAGCAGCTTTTTAGCACAGGAACAGATCCAGGATAGCTGAGGGAGCTCCTGTAGGAATTTTAAGCACAATGGATATATAAAACTACAAAAAAAAAATCCCAATTTTGCCTTGCTCATCTACATCAATTAATTTACCTAAAGTGGCAAACTGTTGCCAAAATCTCTCAATGTCTGCATAAATTTGTAATAAATGAAAACTATCAGTTGCCTTTAGGATACTTCAAGATTCTTTGCAGGATTAATGGAACCTGCATGGCAGAAAATACAATCTGCAGATCGAATAATTCCATTGACTTGTTTTGCAGTGTGATAGATGTCAGAAAGATAGAGTTACACTTTAAATGGCTTCAGTAGGTCAGTAGGTTCATTGAAATGTGATGTCTAGCAAAAGGAGACAGCTTGTCTACATCCTTTGTGGAGCTACAGTCTTGGAATCATCTTGCTTACTGTGCAAATATTTCATTATATTGTGTTGCCAAACTTGGAAATGTTCCAAAAAAAATTACAAGTCCCAACCTTCCAAAACAGAAGTTTATTTGAAATGTTGGGATTTGCAGTCCTACAGCATCTCTAACAAACGGTCTGCAACTTGTAAACCTTGCCCCTGATGCAGGGGTTTGGTTTTGAGCATCAGTGGTACCCAGTAACCTGATAATTGAGCTATTGAATGTCTCCTTATCGCCCCCTCCTGGCCAAGGGTTAATTGGCAGCATTCTAATCCAAATAAAAAAAGAAGTCGAACTGTCAACTAACTACTTGATAAAGACATAAGAAGTAAAAATATGCATGGGTATTTTTTCCTGCCTTTTATTTCTAACTAATGAGGTATTGACAGTGCTTTACAATGCAGTCACATGTGTCTTTTCTCATTACAGCAACCCCGTTTACATTTGATAAGCCAGTGTTACATAAACTGCTAACCGAGACCCGTGCATCAGGATTGCCATCTGTCGCAGAAAGGGTTAAACAGACTCAAAAGAAGGCACACACTGCTATAATCACTTATCACTGCCTGCGAGACCAAGTAATCCTCCTGTAAAGCTGCTCAGTGTCTCTAAAAAAACGCATAATACCAAAAAAACAGCAAAACATGATACAGAGCCCTGGATGCTGCGTGTATTAGAGGTGCACACACTGTACCACATGTGTAATACAAAGAGGCTGGGCCACTAAAGGAGTCATTGCTGGCGCTGTCACTCTGTTTTTTCCTTAAACCCCCAATTATGTGCAGGATATATTCTGATTTTCAAAATATAATGCATCTGCACTGAGAAATGTTATTGTGCTGCTTATGTAACTTTTGTATTTTATATGCTTGCTGTACCATATTTATATTAATATACATACAGATTTAAATACATCTCTGGGTACCTTGAGTTTTATATTTTAGGATGCCCTAATATTTTGTAACTGCTGCCTTTTATGCAGTAACTGTTTGCTTTGCTGAAAACCCATTTAAACATTGTGTTTAGTGGACCCTGGACAATATAGAAGGAGCTGTTCTTGTGACTTGCCATCGCATCAGAGAGGAGCCTATGATAGATGCCAACAGCAGGCTGCAGCATCACCACAGGCTATGCTTTGTGGATGGCAAAGCACAGAGAGGGGACAAAGGCACAACACTGGAACTGATGTTGGCATAGGTGCCTCTGGTGCAGTGGGGAGCTAGAAGTGCAGCTCCCATTTGTACTTTTTGGAGGGCCACTGAATATAGGGTTTAAATTTTTTTTTCAGCAAAGCAACCAGTAACTGCATAAAGAATTGTGGAAAAATATTAAATGAGGAAAATGGTGAAAGCCTTTTTGGCCATACTTATCTTGTGGGTCACGAGTGCTCTCCTGTGACCCAGAATCAGCTGACAAAGTCAGCTAAAGTCTGTTGTCAGCTGATGTCACAGAGACAGTCCAGACTCTGGAGGGATCCCGACAATAATGTCAGGCTCCTCTGGCAGCTGGTTCAGCCCCTCAGTATGCTGCTGAGAGCCTGAGCCAGCCACTCCCATCCCCTTGACAGCCCAGGACTCCAGTGAACACTGGAGGGGCAGAGCAGAGAACGGTGACTGATAGGCATTGCTCTCTGTTCAGAGTGGACCAAGACAGAGAGTGATTAGTAGTCATGTGATCGCTCAGTTCTCGGGCTTAGAGCCAGTGGTGAACTGCTGCAGCATCAGACCACTGCTGGAGCAAGGAGGTCAGTATATGTTTTTATTTTCTGTATTCCCACACTTCTTCCTTTTAGGCATTCTAAAAAATAGAAATCAAGGTACCTGTTCCAGAGGTGGACTTTAATATATTCTCCCTTGAGCAGTAATCTCTTTTTCAATGCAGGTATTTATTTATTATAGGTATTTATTCAACACCATCAATTTACGCAGTGCATTACATACTGTGCATTCATTTATTAGTTTATTTTATTTATTTCAGGCACTGATATAGCGCTGTCAATTTACACAGTGCTTTACATAAATATATTACATGTTCAGTCCCTAACCCTCAAGGAGCGTACAATCTAAGGTCCCTAACTCACATTCACATATACTAGGGCAAATTTAGACAGGAGACAATTAACCTACCAACATGTCTTTGGAGTGTAGGAAAAAAACAGAGTACCAGGGAAAATTCATGCAGGCACAAAAAGTACATAAAAAGTACATGCAAACTCCATGCAGATAGTGTCCTGACTGGGATTCAAACCAGAAACCACAGGAAGGAACAGACTCCTTGTAAAATCATCTTCAAGAGTGGCATTCTATCCAAGAAGGTGACACCACGTTTTAAGCTAAAGTTCATGAAAATGGTGGTGTCACTTCTTGTGTTGTCATTAATTTAGGGTATTTAGGGGAAATAGCGTGTATATTTTCCTCATAATTAGAATTTTTCTCAGGACTTGTAACAGCAGTGACAATTAATTTGTACAATCTACTTAAAATCTCCCAACAAATATGTAGCGTGAGGGCCTTTATGATGGAACACACACAGTGCTGGGACAAGGTCATCCAGTGCCCAGGGCAAAGATGCTAAACAGCAGCACCTCCCAATCCCTCACCCCCTGTTTATGATTTGCAAGCTTAGGGGATCCTATGCCCAGCAGTCTCTCACTTGTCAAAATCACTGCTGCTGTCATTACTCCTGTCAGCCTCGTGTAACAGAAGAAAGGCGCCCCCATCCCTATAGTAAACCTATGGCGCCCGGCCATCCCTTGTCCTTACCCTGAACACAGATTTATGGATTGTTTAGGAAGGTTCTACCATTACACAGTTTTGGCAGATCTGAAAGAGATTGGATAGAATTTGTACAATCAGATTGTGTGTATGGCCAGGGTACAGGCAATTTGTGGGTAGCATGCTGTACAACTGCTGGCTTACTCTGAGTGACATACTTAAAGAGTAACCTTAAAGGGTGACTCCACTTATGTGGAAAAAAATATAGTAAATAAAAAAAATAATATAGCATATGCAATTGCTACAGAAGCCATATTGTAATTTATTATTATTTTAAAAAATTACCTTTCCAATTCAATCTGCAGCTGCTGTAATTTTCTACAAATTCCATGCACTATGAACTCTTGAAGGAATTCTGTACACTGTTTGTGTGCAGATTGCTCTCAGAGATATCATTTCCTGCTTGTGTGAAGAACTCTGCACTAAGATACAAGTCAGGTTTTAGGCATCCTCTGCAACAGAAAGTTTTGGTGAGATACTCCTTAAGGCCCCTTTCACACGAAGGGTTCAATCAGGTCCACCTGTCAGTTTTTCAGGCAGACCTGATCAGACCCTCCATTCACCTCTATGGACTGGCTGGTGTAAACGGACTTGTGTCTGTTTATACCCACCTAACTCAAATCCGATCTAGTCCTCTAAAAAAAAAAAAACAGAAGGGGATCTGTCCCCTCTGTCTAGGCAGTTCGAAGGGCTGTCGAATGTAACTCCCGGCCACCCATAGAGTAGAGTAGACTCGGCCTGTGTCTGCTCTGCATAAACTGAGCAGACAGGGACCTGTCCATCCACCCCGTTCTGCACTGATCAGCAGGGACCAGTGGACGGAGTTGGACCCATCTGAAAGGGGCCTAGGGGTTAGTCACGTCTAAAGGGATGAAGACACTGCAAGGTGCATAAGCTGATTATAATGAATTAGTCACTCCCATTCAGAATCTGTGAACAGGACATAAAAAAAACTTATATATAAAATCTAT